TATTGTCTGTTACGATACGACAAGATCGGTGCTACACCATCACAGCCAAGGACTTTGCTCTCTCCTCCATCGTCCTTTTGGGCATCATCATCGTGTTGTCTTTTTTTAGCCATGCCGGTCTTACGTGAAGGGTGGAAAAATAATGAGAAATGTGGCTTTTGGGGGTCGCTCGGCGAAATGGGAGAGGAAGAAGGTCCATGGGGAAAAAAAGGTTGCCGGGCATCGCACAAAACACCCTAATGCCGATCATTTCTGACCTCCAGCAGCAGTTCGCCAGGCACCAGAGCCCTCCCAACCAGCTCCATCCAAATCGAGACACTTGTGCCGCCTTTCCCCCTCCCTCTCAGCATGCAGCCCGCGATCCTCCCGGGGCAGCGCTGCCGAATGCTGCCACCTCGGTACGTACTTGTAAGCTGCGTGTACTACAGGTACAGTATGCATCTCAAAGTGAACAAAAAAAAAAAAAGGGCAAGAGTCGAGAATATTCCTCTCGAGGCATGACTAACTGCCCGCAATGACTCCAACAGTCCTACGCCCTGCTTGTGTGCGGAATACCGCGGGTTTCTGCCTAGACCACCAGGCTCCAGGCCAATGTCCTGCCATGAATGACGACGAGATGAACCGGTGACTACCTATTAGCTAAGCCTCTTCTTGGCCGAGGGTAGGACCTCGGGTACGTATTCCGTGAATCGGTTTGAGACATCGGGATGCGCAAAGGATTGCCGGTGAGAGTCCTAAGCCTTAGGAATTAAGGTGCACGGAAAGAAGGGTCGCCGGACAAGCATGGAAGCGAGTGACTTGGCCGCATGTGCCGCTGCCTGCACTCCGTAAGGTATACTGGCAAATACGGATACTACCACGCGACCGCTTGGAAGTTGCCGCGCAGTGGGCATTTGCTTTCCGCGAAGAGCCTCACACGACAGGCAGCCTTACAAGGGGGCACCCGTTCGTCGGTGGTACTCTGTACAAGGATTGTTCGCGCAGTGTTGCCTTGAATACCACCAAAGCAGGTGCCCAACCTCGGGTATCTGCTACCTACCAGGTCCGTCGGGGGCATGGATGTTTGTTTCTACGAGGAACAGCCAAACCCCAGCAGAACGGGGAAAAAAGACCCCCAGCATTTCTGCAAGGTTCCCCGTCCCCGGTTCCCAGGCCAAGGCACTCCGGTCATGTGTGTGCGGGCATCAGCCCAGTGGGTTACCCGTTTCGGCTCAGCCCACCAAAAGCTGTTAACAGAGTTAGCCGCAGCTCAGTCATGTCATGTCCACCAAAAAGCATAGCATAGCGAACCCGCGTTTCAAACTACTCGTCCCATCAGATAAAATTAGGACCAGGCTAAGAACCAACGTTGCCTTGCTTGGGCAAAACAGGCGCGCCCGCGCATACGGCGCATCTTGTCATCATCATCTCGCCCCCGTTCCGTTCGATCGCCCGCGCCAAGGCGCCTAGCACAGACGCGCCTGTCAAAGTCCGCCCTGGCCCTTCGTACAAAGTTGCTTTTTCGTGCGACTGGGAAGGGGGAAAAAAAAAGGACCGGCCAGCGTTGCAACCTCCATGTCTGCCATCTCATGTACAAGCATCATCCCATCATGCATCTCCCATGCGTGTCT